CTAAAAAAAAAGTAGCCATTATCAAGTCAACTTTTTTTTGTATCAACTTCTATTATAGGAGTAATGTTCAGTGTGTTAAAGAATAACTTTTAAGGTAATCAAATATCTTGCCTTCACTATGGCATTTGATCACCCATAAGTGCCATCTGTTGGCTCACTGGCTCCTCTACCAACACTACTCTCATAAAACTCAACCTAAACTAAAAGAAGCAAAACATCTGGGAAATTCCATTGTAAGAATTCCTCCAACAAATGTGTTTCCAATTGCAACAGATTTAATGTTTCATAACATTATTTTTCATGTAAGTGGAATATTTAGTTTTTATCCTTTTAGTCACTTCCCTAGCAATATTTTTAAAAGTCATATTAAAGTTGAATTAAGAGTTTGCAGGTACAAAAGTTAAGAAATAATTTTAATAATTGATAACTGTAAGACCTTAACTTGTTATTCCTATAATTTTTAGAAGCTTAATTATCTTATTTTCAAAAATGAAATTAGATATATCTAAAAATCAATACTAAACATTATGCCAATAAGTCAGCAATAACATTTCAAATTATATTGAATTGAAATTACACTATCAATTGACAATTCATTCAATTAAACTCAATGAATATAAGTCATATTCAATGAATGATTACTTATATATCTGTGTCTAAGTACCACTGATTTATTTCTGAACAATATCATTGTTGAAATCATTGTGTCATAAAAGTAGTAATCCTTATATTCCTTTTAAAAAATTATTGACTATAAAGTGAAAAAGGATATCTTATAAAAATAGACTATGCTCAGAAACTAAAATTTTATTTGGTATCCAGATTTTTTAAAAACTTGCAATTATAAACAAAATAGGATATTAATTATGAATGGAATAAAAATTGTAAATAAGGTAGAAAACAAACTGGGATGGAAGGACAAAATGAAAAAAAAATTTACTGATCCAAAAACCAGAAATAATGAAGAAGAAATAAAAATACTTAATTAGTGGAGCAAATATAATACAAGTATATGATGGTATAAGATTACAGTAGATATTAACCCTAATTTAGAAATAATTTAAAGTTAATTTTAAACAGACGATAAACTCCTATTAATATACACCAGTCAGAATGAAAAAAAAAATACCCAACAACAAGCTATTGACTATGCTAACTGAAAAAAGCCAGACAGAAAAGGATAAATACTATATATTTAATAATATACAAGAGACTTCAGTTAACACAAAATATTATATGTAACAGAAACAGGTATATTCTGCATCAAATTTTAGCAAATCCAGACAACTATTTAGATCAAATTCAGGAATGGGCAAACACTAAATAGACATTAAATTTGTCACCTCTCAAAAGCACAAACTTTATTCTCAAGAGTCAATTAAGGGCGGTGGGGGGGGGGGGGGAGGAGTCCATTCAGGGAAAGAAAAAAATCCTTAAAACAAAGGGAAGCTCAATTTATTTCTGAGTTTATTAAATTTAAAATTTTTTATTTTATCTTTTCAAGTCAATTTTCACAAGATATATTGGTCTATTATTTTCTTTTTTTGAGAAGTGTTTGATTTTGATCTAGAGTAATATCAGTTTCATTGAATGTTCTGGGAAGTGTTTTCCCTAATTCTGTCTTTAGGAATAGTTGCGAAGGATTGGTAATTTTTCCCTAAGTATTGGGAGAACTCAGTAATGAAACCATTTGTTCCTGGGCTTTTGTTTGTACAACTCTTGTCTCTTAAAAGTTAAGAAGTTTCAACTATAACTCCTTTAATCCATGGAAAATTAGAGACAGAAATAGAAAAACTGACCTGGCTATTGTTCTTGGTTGTTTTCTTTAAAAAAAAAAATTGATTTTGAAAATTGGTAGTGTGTAATAAAAAATGAGGAAATCTTTCTTTCATGAAGGCTATCCATTCACAACATAGTCTTTTAAAATTTTAAGTCCTGTGGATTTTAACTACCTTAGGTTATCTAATTTTATCTAATTTAATCCTAGCAAGAACCACAGGAGATTCTATCATCTCGATATGACATATGAGGAAACAAAAGCAAAAACAAGTTCAGAGGTATCTGGTACTATTAATGAGCAAGAATTCAAATATCATAATTCTGCCTCAACTATGTAATGAACTGGCAAATGGGTAAATTACTAACCTCCTGCTCTCAGTTTTTTCATCTCTAAAATGAGATTAGCACTAACTACTTCTTAGGATTACTGTATAAACAAAATGCATGTGAAGTGCTTGTGACAGTGCCTGGCTTAGAGTATGTGCTCAATATTAGCAGGGTTTTTTTTTTTTTTAACTATTACCAAGTATTTCCCACATATCACCATTCTAAAACTCTTGAGTTTCAAGGAAAATAAGAAACAATACCTCTTAGACTGGAAAATAATCATTTAAAAGGAATTAATTGATTCCAGTCACATATTAAACCATTTTATTATTATTATTTTGTACCTTCTACATGTACCTTTTGTACCTTACTACATGTCCATCTAGTCAAAAAACAAAAATATTTAAACACAGGAAAAAGCACATAAGATATAAAGTGGTCTTTGTATAAATGCCCATCCATTTAAAAATAGATTTATACTGCCTGTTTACAGTTTTGTGTTTTATCATTGATAGGAATATTAGAATCAGTTTTTCTCTTTTAAACTAAGTACGTTTAAGATGTAAATACTTAAAACATATTGCAGTAGATTCCTTTAATTCTTTAAAAAATTGTCTAAATAATTTGCACATGTCACAATTAAACTTAATTTAAATATATAGCTGTTGCAGTAACAAAACTTTCAATCTGTACTTTCCTAATAAAATCCTACAGTAAGCTGTGTTCAGGCACTTTTATTATTTTCTAGGAGTTGTTACGAGTAGATTCTTCTATCTGCACAATTCATTACACCTCTCAAAACAGTTTCCTGTGTACCATCTTATTTGTCCTTCTCAATAGTCCCTAGTGAATGGTAAGACGTTCAGGAGACTTCTCTTTCCCATTTTAAAGATGTGAAAAATCAAGGTGGTTCCTGTGCTCATTACCATCCTGGGTCTGGAATTCAAGTCTCTTGAGCCTATATTAATGCTTACCAACTGTCAATCCAAGGCCTTAAGTTATCCTGCATGGGAAAATGAACTCTGTAACTGAAAGGATATTATAGCATGATTGCCAAAACTGCAGCGACAACTTCTATCAAAAATTTACCCTTGTGGTCTTTGGAAAATAATGTGCTAGTTGAACTGTAGCACAGAGATAATAAGGTGTGAAGCAATGTTGGCACCCATTTTCAGACCAGTTAGAAAACCTATTTGTTGTGCAATATTTATTCTAATAACACAGTTAGAACATTCTAGCCTTCTCATGATCTGGTTACCTAGCTTGTTCAAACTGGCTGGTACACAGGCAACTTCCCACACAATTCTCTACCTCTGCTCCAAGTATAATTTCAGCAAATGTACAACATGGCAGTGATTCTATTCATAGCCCCCAAACAATGGAAGCAAAACACTGAAATATAAATGATTTCAAAGAATAAGATTCTTTCCTTTAAAAAAAAATCTACTTATTAAAAAATTAAAAAGTTTCATTTCCTAAATTAGAGGTAAAGAGACTAAACTGTGGCCCAACTTTGTCCTCTCAAGCTTTTACTAGTATATTCAGTTTAATTTCCATCAACCAGCATTCCTTTGTGTCATGCCCAGGAGTTAATCAACAAGGTCCAGCTCCTTCCTACCATCACCATAAATTTAACTTCAGGTTTTGGGAAACAAGACTCAAACAACTCAAAGATTAAGATGTCAGTGTAGTAGACCAACAGCATTCAGACTATAATAATTTATTGCAACCATTACTTATCCAGTAGTTAATATGTATCACACTTCCTTGTCCTATGTACACAAATCCTAATATAATCTTAACAACCCCATCAGGTATTACACCCATTATTTGGGAAGAACCTGGCCACAAAGGGTAAGTAAATAGCCCAAAGCAACAGCAATGAAAGGCAGATGAAGCTCTTAAATCAGGGCCTTAATTTCAACTACTATACCAAAGAAATGCCTCACCCTCAATTCTAGTATTAACACAATTCTTAAACTAATCACATGACCTTGGGCCAGTCATTTCTCAGCCCTGGGCCTCAGCCTCCTTAACAGTAAAACGACCTGCCTCAGTGAGCTTAGGAAGGTTTCCCAGCTTTTACTGTCCTGTGAATTTCACAGTGGATTACTCCCCACTGTGAGGAGGCTTGGTCCCATAACAGACCTTTACCCAATCTTCCCGCCCCGCTCAGGGCTTGCTTCCCAGGCAGCCAGCAGGAGGCCGAAAGAAAACCCTAGAAGCAAAGCCACAGGAAGTTCTCCTTCCCAGAGTTCAAGGAAGGCTCTGGGGCACTTGCAACACTTCACGTGAGAACTGGGCTAGCTGCCCAGCCCAATCAGCCGAAGTTCAGGCTGGGGCTTCACCCCTCACATGTGGCGCGACCTGGGAGTCCTGGGCCCTTGAAACCTGGGCCCTTAAAACCCTGTCCAACTCCTTGCCCTCGCAGGCCCCTCAGTTTCTGGGTCCCGGGACCTCCGTGGCCCACACCCAGACCTCCCGGGTTCTAACTGGGTTTCTGAGGGCATGCGCCGGCCTCGGGACTCACCTGGAGTCTCTGAGCAAACGCGTGTGGCCCCTGTGTGGCCTCTCGCCTCACTGTGGGTCCCGCGCCACGCGGAGATAGAAGCAGAAGCGACGGTCGCTCAGGGCCGCAGCCCAAGAAGCCTCTGCAATGTCTCCTGCCGCCGGGCCAGCGAGTCCCACCGCTGGAAGCCCCTAACTTCTCATTTTAATAGTTTGCGGTTTTCCAGTATTTGCTGTTTATCCCACTGTTGTATATATTGTGTGTTGAGGTGAGGTTGAAGAGCAGTAGATAACTTAACTACTGTAGTTCATCGTGTCCAGAATGAGCGGAATGATTTTACTCAAGAAACTATATCTGGGTAACTGTATCTTCAAGAGTACCTGGTTTAGAAGCGAAGGTTGTGTCCTTACGTCTGAGACTAATAATGTGATAATGGAAGTTATTAGGCAGTGAGTGTATTTTGCAGGTTGGAGCAATGTAAATAATTTGGGGCCAGATTGTAGACTGAGACAGCTTTAAATACGAAAACAAATTAGTTGATGCTCCTCTCAATAAAAGGTAAAGTCGATGTCCCCTTTGCTTAAATCTCGGCAGGCTTGCTACTGACTTATAAACAATAGAACGAGGCAGAAAGGATGCTGTGTGATTTCTGAGGCTAGAACATAAAATATAGGATAGCTTCTACTCTGTTGACGGACCGTTTGTGCTTGGAACACCTGGTTGCCACATTCGAGGTCAGTATCCTAACCTGTCAAGTCGGAGCAGCCTTGTGTGGGTGCTGGCCAGGCTGCGCTCACGATAGGCAGCAGTTAGCATCGACTTTCACCCTTGTTCCCCCTCAGCCCGTTCCCCTGCCTGAGGGAACGGGATGCAGTTAAAGAGAACAGAGATGTTCCTCAGGAGACTCCTGCCTGAGGGAATGGGGCGCAGTTACAGAGAAAGGGGCCCTCGGTAAAATCCAGCCTGAGATAGCGAGGTGCAGTTACAGAGAATAATGTTCCTCAGGAGAATCCCCCGTCTGAGGAAGCGGATTGCTGTTACAGAGAAAGGGGCCCCTGCAGAATCTAGCCTGAGGAAGCGGAATCCAGTCACAGAGAGCGACGTTTCTCAGGAGAATATTGCCTGAGGTAGTGGGGTGCAGTTTGAGAACGTGGTGCCGGGGAGATTCATGTCTGAAGTCACCCGGAGGCCTTACAGAGAAGTGAAACATCTTGAACTTAGAAAAAAATACTAATATTTTGCATAGCATTAGTAATTGGGACAAGTTATAAAGACAGGAAAGAAAGTAGTAAAACTCATTATTCATAGAAAACCTAGTATACGATAAAGATGTCCAAGTTTATTGTTTAAAAACCTATACAGTGTTAAGGAGAAAAAAAATTAAAGACAATCAATGGTGGGATATGCAATGTTTTTGGATTGGAAAACTCAGTTCAATTTAAAAAGTTAGTTACCCTAAATTGAATTACCTATTTAATGAAATGCCAATCAAAATTCCACTTGGCAATCTTTTGGAGAGTAGGGGAGTTGATTCTGAAGTGTCTAAAAGAATGTAAATAATAAATGTAAATTCTTTCCTTTAGCAAAAGAGAGAGCAGAGGACTGATAACAAATGGTAAGTGGTTCATTGATTTAATAATGGAAATTTGAGGATATACTTATCTAAAGATAGTTTATTATATATGCATGAGGAAGCATTAGTTTTGGGATTTGGAATATGATGAAAGTAGAGACTTTTTGAAGGAGCCAGTATTTGTAAGCCTAGTTGAGAATGATGACTAGAATATTTAATATTTAATATAAGCTTCAGGTTAAATTTTCTAAATTTGCTTTAGTTACTATAATGATATTCAGCTCTAATTCACCCAGTCATTCTGATAGCTTAAACATTCCATTTTGAGTAAGAACTGGAGTTTTAGAATAAGGCAAAAACCAATAAGTATCTCTGAGTAGCTTTGAGGGAATAAAAGCAGTACTCATTTATACACCAGATAAATCTTCCTTGTTAAAAATGTGACATTATGCAATTGAAGGAATGGTTTTAATATTTTGCAGTATGTATTTGTAAAATAACCTTATAAACCATAAATTTCAAGTATTCCACCTTTAAGGAAGTAAAAGTTTTTATTATCACTGTATTATTGTTAAGAAAATGTGTTGAAAAGGTGAGAAATGTATGTGACATTTGAAATTGATATAAACCAAGTCTGATTATAGTGTGGATTTTCTATGACAATTTCTAAGAATTTCCACATTAGTAATTACTATAGTTTCACATCAAGAAAAGGCATTATTTGTCTTGTATCTTCTAATTAACTGTAAAATTATATGTCAAATAAATGTATTATTAAAGAAAATTCCTACATTCGAATATGTGCATCAAAGTAATCTCATTTATATTTGTGTGTGAAACATGAACAAATGAGCTAATGAGACATATTCTCTTAAGTAATATCTTCAAAATTATTCAAGAAAAAATGATATGTTTGAATTACAAAAAGTAGAGGCTTTGTAGTAAGATGAAATTTGTATCATTTCTTTATCATTAGTTTAAACTTTTTTTTTTTTTTTTTTTGGTTTCAAGTGACTTAATCTCTTCAAGTCTATTGCTCCACCGGGGAATTTTATGTGTAATAAAACATATCAAAGGGACTGTTGAGAAGAACATATCAGATAATATATATGGTGGAATTGTATTTTTAATATATCACCAATTTTGTTTTTCTTTTATTGCTTCTTTTTTCTTTCATCCATTTAATTACTTCATTTTAAAACTTCTAGGAAAGGTAGAAATAACAACAGAAAATATTCTGAAATGCTGAGACTTTTCTGGTCTCAAATAAGAATAACAAGAAGATAAGGTATCAAAAGTATCCCTATCCTCTGAAAAACCTGGGGGAAATGTCAATAAAAGAACTAAATTAAGTTTTTGCCCCATCAGTGCCTGCAATGGCAAAACAAGTCATATTGCTTTCACACCGAGCTTATAAAATGAGCTCCATGCTCAGCACACATATAAGGCATCTAGCATTGGGCCTCTGAAGAGATAAGAGCAAATATTTGACCCATTTCATCACAAATATCTTCTCACAAAATGAATTTGTAGAGTCTCAAAAAGAAAAACATTAGATTTTACAGTAGCTTATACATCTAATATGTAATTGTCCTGATGAATTATTTGAATGCTATTTGTAAATGTCCTGTATTTGGATACCTACAGTCTTTGCTGAAGAATATATCAAGTTCAAAAAGTAAGTTGCAATATGGAAGTGAGAAAATGCAGGTTTCAGAAAGGAAAACACTTTAAAATCTCTCAATAAAAGAGGTTGCTCCTAAGGCATTAAGTATCAAAAATTCTAAAGAATGGATGTCACTTCAGTCAGGAAAACAGAATTCTAGTGGGCAGATCCTATCCTGTCCTCTGACACACATCACTGACTTCTTCAGGAACACATCCATGCTGACACCAGAAGTGTTACATTTTTCCTGATAGGTCCTGATGTGTACTGAATATTAGATTTGGTAAGCAGAATAACTGTTTATGTGAACATTAAATAACTAACTATATATACACAGTTTTAAATAGGTGAAACATTGCATTATACTACAAATACTAATACTGTTATATTTTAAAAGAAAATAGTTTGAACTTTTCCTCAAGATTGAGTAACTACATTATGAATTTAAGATGAAAAAGACTTAAAATTTCATGTAATACATTCATGAAAACTAAATACATTAGGCTGATTGTTACTTGTATCAGAAGAAAATCAACATATTATAGTTAGCCTTGTTGTAAAATATTATTATGATAGAGTTCTTTCTATTTGCTTCTCTAAAAGTTATCAGATACTGTTTCAGAAGCTAAGTCAATGTTTTCAATTTACTATAATCTGTTAGCTATTTATTATCTCTGTGCCTTGGATTATAGTATCCAACTACTTACAATAATTGACTGAAATCTTTGGACAGCTGTCAGAATGGCTGAAATTCACCACTCTGAAAGTCAAAACTCATGCTAATACAATGGTGAAGATAAGTAATTAGATCTCTTTCACAATGTGGTCTGTTTTCACTGTCTCATTAACAACACTTCTCTCTTGTTTAGAGAGAACTCATTGTTTAAGTAATGGAATGAAATTTGAGATACTTTTGCATTTTCTCAGGAAATTAACTAATTTTTGATGCAGATTTGTGATAACAGACAAATGCATTTCATATGTACAGTTTAAATATGAAATGTTTCCAGGCATACTTTCTTTATTCCAAGATGTGAAATTACTGCACATGAGGTGTGTTTCTATTAAATTGGAAATTTCTAGGAGGGCATAGGTTATACCTAGAATGTAATACAAAAAATATTCACAGGATTATCAACATACCTTTATTATCTAATCAGTTATGATTTTCAAGAGAAACAAATGAAAAGACTTTTCTCTTTCTAAAAAAGTTGGCAAAATATCTCAGGGACTTTCACAGGCTATTTAAAAATGTGTGCTACTCAAACATAAAAGACAAATTTGCTGGAACCTATAATTCAGTTCAGTTCAGTCACTCAGTCATGTCCGACTCTTTCTGACCCCATGGACTGCAGCACACCAGGCCTCCCTGTCCATCACCAACTTCTGTAATAGATTGTGTTAATTTTAAAGGTGATTAAAGTGATCTTAGTTTGTATATTTTTATTTTATTTTGTTGCTTTCAATTTTTTTGCATATTTCTTTATTTCTGTAAATCACAGAGGTAATATATATTAACTTCTACCTGGGGCTGAAGAAGGAAAAAATATATTTGATATAAAATTACTTATCCACAGCTTCCTTTTTAAATAACACCTTCATTGAGAAATAATTCACATTATGTATATCCCTTTAAAAGGGCTTCCCTCATAGCTCAGTTGAGAAAGAATCTGCCTGCAATGCAGGAGACCCCAGTTTGATTCCTGGGTCAGGAAGATCCCCTGGAGAAGGGACAGGCTATGCACTCCACTATTCTTGGGCTTCCCTTGTGGCTCAGCTGGTAAAGAATTTGCCCGCAATGCGGGAGATCTGGGTTCAATCCCTGGGTTGGGGAGATCCTCTGGAGGAGGGCATGGCCTCCAGTATTTTTGACTGGAGAATCCCCATGGACAGAAGGAGCCTGGCAGGCTACAGTCCATGGGGTCTCAAAGAGTGACTAAGCACAGCCCAGCACATTGTCCACTTTAATACCTTCTTTATAGAATGACTATGGAAAACTTTGCCCACCTCAAAATTGGGTTATTTGCATTTTTATTGTTGAGTTATAAGAACTTCTTATTTAATCTAAGATACAAGTTCTTATACTTTGGGGGTCGTATATAATAACATAGTGTCTAACCCAAAGTCTATGATATTTACTCCCATTTTCCTCTAAGAGTTTTGTTGTTTTAGTCTTACAGTTAGGTCTATAATCCATTTTGTTTTAATTTTGTGTACAGTACAGTGTGAGGTAATAATCAAACTTCATTTTTTTGAATATGGCTATCCAGTTGTCCTAACGCCATTTTTGAAAAGGCTATTCTTTCCTCATTTAACCATCTTGTCACCCTTCTTGAATTGATCATAAGTGTAAAGGTTTATCTCTGAAATGATTTTTATCTTCTGTCATTGGTTAGAGTGTTCCATACATATCTATCAAGTCTAATTGCTGTATAGTATTGCTCAAGTATTCTATTTCATTATTCACTTTTTGTGTAATTGGTCTATCCATTGTTGAAAATGGGACATTGAAGTCACCAACTATTGTCAAATCATCCATTTTTCCCTTCACTTCTGTCAATTTGCTTCCTGTAGTTTTGGAATCGTTTCTTAGGTGCATGTACATTTCTATTTGTTAAGTCTGATGCAATGGCCCTTTTTCATTATAAAATGTCCCTTCACCATAGTAACATTTTTGTCTTAAGTTCCATTTTCTCTGATATTAGTACAGCCATTCTTGGTCTCATTTTGTTACTGTTTGCATAGCATTTATTTTTCTATTCTTTTATATTTGTCCTAGTTGTCTCTTGTAGATGGCATATAGTTGAATCATATTTTTAATCATTCTGCCAAAATTTGCCTCTTGGAGTGTTTAATCCATTTATGTTTAATGTAATTACTGAGAAGTTAGTCTTTGTCTGCCACTTTAATGCTTATTTTCCATATCATTTACATCATTCCTCTAGTCTACCATTACTGCTTTCTTTTGTGATAAACATGTTTTTTAATGTACCATTTTAATTCCTTTTTTAAATTTTACTTTATATTTCGAGGATTTTTTTAGTGCTTTTTGCAGAATAAGAAAACATATCAACTTAATTTAATTAGGATTAATACAATTTATTTTCTTTATTATATAAAAGATGTTCTTCAATAAAGTTTCCTTTTCTCTACTCTCCTTTTCACTATTATTGTCATATAAATACATATTCATACATTATAAGCTTATCAACAGTTTTATAATTATTGCTTTATACAGTTGTGTTTTTAAATTCAGATATGAAAATAAAAGAATATCAAACAAAAATACATTTATACTGTATTTTGTATTAAGTATATAATGAGCTTTAGTGACGCTTTCTACTTGATTGTGTGGATTTGAGATACATTCTAATGTAATTTTTTTTTCAACCTGGAGGACTTCCTTTAATATTCCTGTGAGATAATACTGCTCATGACAAATTGTCTCAGTTTTGATTTACCTAGGAATGTATTTACTTAGGAAGCTGTTTTCCCCATTATTTATTCAAATATTCTTTCTATCCCTCTTTCTCTTCTCCTTTTAAGATTCCTGTTATGATTTAGATTTACATTTGATTATGTGTTATTTATCTCTGAGATACTATTTATTCATTTCTCTTTCTGGTTCTCAGACTGTATAATCTCAATTGATCTATCTTTTAGTTGATTAATTCTGTCTTCTGTCAACTTAAATCTGCTGGTAAGCCTCTCTAGTGAAATTTTTCATTTCAGTTGTACTTTTCAACT